TTTTATACTTCTGACCTTAATACCTGCGGACCACCTCACGAGCATGAACATGGAGTTCAGAGTGCGAAATGGTGTGGAGTACGGAGCATGGAGCTTGGTTCTGGACACGGACACCGACATCAGTTGAGCGTGTGAAGCTGTTTTTGTCTTTGGGGCTGCTGGCGCTAAGCTTAAAAGCAAACACAGGTGTTCAAGAGGAGAAAATCGTCATATATTATGGTACTATACTAGTTCCGACAACGTCAAAAATGACGGAAAGCTAAAAGAACAACTGTTTTGGGCAGTAAACGACCCAAACTAAGGATTTATATAATTTTCCAAATGATATTGATTTTTTGAAAAATTTTCACATTTTTTGTAAGGGGTAACATCGTCTTTATTTTGCAAAAAATAAAAAAAAATTACATTTTTAGGTGTGAATACAGTCTTACAAGAAATTTAATTACAAACTCAACAAGATATGACATTCCTTGTTCCGACAATTTTTGGCACTATTATAGACAAAATTTAGAATTATTTAAGGAAAAATCTGAATAACAATTCCTAAGTAATATTTGCCATATTTTTATTAGGTGAATAGCCTATAAAATTGTCAAAACAAGACACACAGCAAAAAGAACGATTGTTTTGCGCAGCTAACGACCAAAATGAACTATTAGTATCACTTTCCGATTAATTTTGAACATTCCATTTTTTTTTAAATTTTCAGATTTATGTTAAGGGGTTGCATCATCAAAATTTGCGAAAAATTTACCTAAATTGACATTTTTAGGTGTGAATACAGTTTTATTAGAAATTTAATAACAAACTTGACGAGATATGACATTCTTTATTCGGAGCATTATTGGCTAAGTTATAGACATTAAAATGTTACTTTGAGGAGAAAATCTCAGATAAACGATTTTCGCATTTTCGATAATTCGATTTTTTCAAAAAATTACCAAAATATTATAATTTTAGGTGTAAATGCAAATCGGACTAGAAATTAATTTACTAACTCAACGAATTATCACATTCCGTATTTAGACCATTTTTAGGCATTTAGGCATCAGGTACTGTGTTTTTGCCAAAATCAGAACATACATTTTTAAACAATAATTGGAATATTTTTTCTAGGTTTTCCATGCATAAATTGACCAAAACAATACGTGTTGCTAAAAAAACTTCTGCTTTGTGCAGCTGACAATCCAAACTTACGATGGATTAATTTTCCGGTTACATTTGGAAATTCAATTTTTGGACAATTAAACCTAACCAACCTAACTAATTTGGTAAATACGACTTTTCCATTTATAAATACATTTATGTATAGATGTAAGGATCTTAAAATCGATTAAAGAGGACCGTGATGGCGAAAGTGGCCTCGAGCCCTGAACAAACATGGCCGGCAAAGAGCAGCTCGCATTGAAAGCGCTCGGCAACATGATGAATTATGAATATTCTAATTTGGATCTTATCGCACTCATTAACACCTTAAGGCCCAAAGGCAGCTCTTTAGAATTTTCCACTGAGTTATCCTAGTCCATAGAGGCCTTTCACTTGGCTTGCTTGGCAATAAGTTGATAAAGGTTATCTCTTCAGGGAAGTAGAGCAAAAGAGTTGAAATTGTTAGCCACAGTTCAGTGTGTCAAGGGTGTGTTGATTGAAAAATGGTTGGGTGGGTGGTGTAGGCAAAGTGAGGCAATTGTTGGTTGGACTGTCGGCCATATGGCCAATCGACAATTGTCAATTGCCAATTACCAATTGCCGTTCATCAGTTTTCGGCTTAAATTGAAAGCCTTACAATAGCAGCTCAGGCATGTAATGAAATAATGAAACAAAGTGCAACACGAAAAGCTCGACAAAGGATGGGATATGAACACAGGATGCTAAGGGGAAAAGGGAAGGGAAAGGGGAGTGGGACACTTGTGCAGCTTCAGCAAAATTTTTAATTAAAATCTTTGTGCTTCCACTGTGCGTGCTTAATTAATTGTGCTTTAGCTGGCAGCGGCAGAAAGGATTGTCATTCTCACTACTGAAAGGAAACGCATTTATACCCCCTTTGGGACAGTTCTGGACACAAAGGGTTAATTGCCATTCGGACATACAGGTAAAAAGGCTTTTGTAGGACTCTTATCAATTGTTCTTCAACATGATTTCTTAAAAATTCTCTCTCTTAAGATTATTTTTTCAAAAGGGTTTCTTTGTACAGGATATTCCTCTTTATGAAAAACAATCAATAGAAAGGACTTTTCAGTAAAAGCTTAAGTACTTTTTGTTCAAATGAATTTAAAAATCATTTTAAAATAATAAAAGTCTTCAAAGTCCTTGTAAACTTATATCATAGATTGACCAAATGAAAAGGAAAAACTTTCTTCTTAAAGGTTTGATTTATATTCGTTTTTTAAAGCCTCCAATTTTTATATGGAAATCAAGAGGGCAAGAAATAAAATGCTGAACTCAAAACGGGAAGTTTTTCCACCGCATTCCCTTTTTCCTTTCACTCTTCTTCCTTGCCCCACCTCTCTTTTCCTCCCACACACACACACACTCACATGCTCAGGGGCGAAGTGCTTTCAGCACAAAACAAGTGTAAATCAAATAAAACCTAATAAAATATATAAAGGGGCAAACGCAGGTTGCCACACGCCCATCCACACGCCCACCCTACCACTTTTCCAACCCTCCACCTACACACACACACACGCACGTCAGATGCGTCCACACACACAAGCACACACACAGAATGGCCCAGATGGGCATGGCAAAAAAAAAGGGAAAACGAAACCTAAATGGCAAACGAATTGAAGTCAGCAATTTTATGTTTTATTGCAATTCTTGCCTTTCACTCCACCCCCCAGCTCTCCATCCTTAACCCCACATTCTATTTTACGGTTACGGTTACCTAGCTGCTCCTGACTCCTCCTTTGCCTTTCCCCACTTTCTCCATTTGCCACGGCTTGTCATAAGGGGCGAACGCACGGATCTGCGGATTCCGATTCATATACAACCATTTTCCATGCAACGCCAACGACAGCGGCATCAAAAGGAAAAACTCTGCCCGAAGCAAGCGAAATCGCTTAAACCGAAGATTTTTTTGCCACTGCCGCTGGAAGGGATGGGGGCAGGAGTTGGGGCGTGGAAATAAAGGGGCGGTTGGAGGTTGGAGTTGTCCTGGCGATGCGTCGGCTGGCTGCAGGCCCTTTCCGCACACCAACCCGAACCACTGCCCTTCGACCTGCGCATATGTCATAAATGGGGTCTGGGTCCTTTGGCTCACTAGCAAGGGCAGGGTTGAAACAGCGAAATGGAAGTGGTTTAGGCAAACTGCCCTATGAAGGGGTATTAGCCATATACTCTTAATGTAATTCATTTAATGAAAAGTCAATTCATAATGTAGGCTTAGAAGGTATAGGTTATACCATTAATAAGACCTAAAACAACCAGAAATTCCAGATTTATAGGGTATTCAAGATTCAGCTATACCCTCGACCCAAACAGTGTTCCTTGTTTATTCTTTTAACGGTCTTTCTGCGGCAAGTGCGCTGCAATTGTGAGGCAGTTATAGATACGGATATCTGTCTAAACACACGTACGTGTGTGGCTGTGTTCGGGAGCGGTTGAAAGTGCGTGTGTGTGGTTGTCCTCGTGTTTTTTTTTGGGGGAGGTATTCGTGCGTGTTTGTTTGGGCTCCGCCACCTCCTGGGCTTAGGTTTTTCTATTGAAATTATTTCCATCGATGTGTTTTATGTGCCCGAAATGGGGCAGCAGGGGGTTAAATTGTTTTGAAGCACGCATAAATTATGGAAAATTGTTGAACATACATAATTTATGGCTGGCAATATCTGAGTAATTCAATAAATGGCCTGGGCTAAATAATTTATATTCCAGCTCGATCCCGATCGAGAAACCTCAAAAAATGCCCTTCTTTGTGGTTTTCCATAAAATCTCCCTTTCCCCCCTAAAAAAAAAAATCATAAATTTCGGCCTTTATCCGGGCATTGGCAATAATCTAATTCAATTTGAAAGTCAATAATTTATTTTTTGACCAGAGTGTCGAGAGCGGAATTAAATCTAAATTTCAATTGCGCTAACTTTGGGAATAACTCATCGATTTGTTTGCTTTTGGCTGGGCTCCATTGTGGTTTCACTATTCCCCAAGCTCAGCCCTCCGCTTCCTATTTTCCTTTTACCATATCGGATCCCGGAGGCTGCTCACGCCCGGGCCATAAAACTTTTATATCAACTTATGTACACTTACAACGGCCATTATAACGCATTAAACATAAACGCTGTTTCATGGACCTTCCCGTTCTCCTTCCAGTTATCTAATTGCCAATGTCGGCAGCTCTCACATACTTCGGACTTTGGACTCTGGACTATGGACTTTGGCCTTCGGAAAAGCTAAGGGGCGGTAATAAATCATTGACGATGACTGCTGCAGCAACCTCATTGAACATTAAAATAATTGCAGAGCGCAACTTGGCCAATGATTGCGCCACCGCCGCCCTACACCCTCCGCCCTTTTGGGTTCATTAATGATAATTAAAAAAGTTTGTCCATCAGCAGCCGAGGCGAGGTAGTTCATTAGAGATAGAGAAATTGAGAACGAGATCTAAACAGTGCCAGGAATCGGTTTCAGCCAGGATTACTAACACTTCCGGAACAGCTTGTTGCAGTCGCTTTGGGCTCTTTTAGGGTCAAAATGCAATTGCATCTCCACTTCGATTGCTGAAGTCATATTTCACAGTCCCCCCGAAAAGTAGGCAACATCCAATTGAGGCCTGATTCTCCACCCATCTTCCGCCTCTTACGTTGTTCTGCCAAATGTAAACAAACATTTTCCGCACACATTTTGGAGGGAAACGGGGAAAAGAGGCTATCCTGGAAGCCACATGCACGTGTAGATTATCAGAGAAGGAAAATTCCTGCGCAGACTCACCAAAAATCGAAGAGAGCGGCATGTTGAGTTTTCCCCCCATGAAAGCCAAGTTAGCATTGAAAAGCCTTTGTTCAGTTTCCAAGCCAGTCAGTTCGTTCGCGTTTTCCGTCGCAATTGCCTGGCCCGAAGTCCAGTGTTTTTCAACGGACTAAATCGGAATTTGATTCCCAAAAGTCGTAAGAAAAGGCTACGACTTCAAAAAGTGTTTGCAGGACAGTTAAAAAGTTTACGACCAGCCTACAAAACTTCGGACATTCAAATGTGATCTGTGAAATATAAATATACGAAATAAAAAACTGAAAAATAAAAAGTGTTGAATGATACATATCCAAACTTTGTTTACCTTTGGCGCCGCAGTGGATGGCTTTGACATTGGCGCCACATTTGCATCCGGGAAGGTGTAAATATTCATTTCTCTTAGCTGGCAAAGTTGCTGCCTGCTTTTAGCATAATTAAGCGCATCACCACGCCTCCCTGTCGCCCTTATACTAAAACTACTACACAAAGCACTCGGAGGAGGACAAAAAACTTGGCCAGAGCCTTGAAACTTTGAAGAGCAGCCGCCAGTCAAAGCAGCTTTAAGGTTCTGTTTTGTGTTTGCCCCTCGCCAGGATCCGAAGTGAAGGCGAACTGCATGGTAAGTGGCGAGTACCTGCAGCTCGACTCCGTCCTTTATTTTGGCCAAGTTAGCAGCTTGTTTATAGTTGGTTAATTGAAGCCCTGGGAAAAGTCCGTAAAAACTTAAATTGAATAATGCACTTGCCAGACTTAATTATGCACTGCACGAGCCTTGGAAATGTATCTCTCCGCCCCCTCCAAAAAAAAAAAAAAACAAAAAAGGAAACCCAGAAGCTCCGACTCAATGCGGATTATTGGGCCACGCTTCAGAAGTCAATTCCTTACTCTGCTACTCTGGCTTTCCCTAACAAATCTCCTAACTACAATAGTAATCTCTCTATCAGAATTTCCCTGTTTTCCTTGTCTCGCTTCAAAATCGAAAACGAAACTTGAATGGCTTAAGTGATTTGGCAGCTCGATCACATTCGTTTGCGCATTTCGATGCTAGTGCAGAGGGAAAAATTTTAATGTTTAGGTCGAGTTAATTTAGTTTTTAATGAAGATATTTAAAATGTAAGAAGGACTATTTTTTAGATAAACATAGATATTTCCCTGACATTTTTGAAAAAGTTTCTACCAGTTTTTAAAGTTTCGTGACCTTATCAAAAGCCCACTATCTTTCCCTCAGTGTGTTACCTTAACACCATTTTTTCTGTTTCGGATTCGGGTCGGGATTGGTTGCCTACTTTCGGGCACAGGGAAAAACTTTTTAAGTGCCAAAGCAAAAGGCGCCGAATTAAATTAAAAACAGAGAAGCTCACGAAGAGGAATATCGTATCGGCTTGTGTGCAAATAACAGAGAGGGGAGCCCGTCTTCAAATTCAATTTGAGGGAGTATAGTCTCCACTTTCCCTTTTCACCCCCTTAAAGCCCCTGGCCCGACAATAGTTAAGCGGAAATGTAAGTCCCCGGGGGCAAAGGCATCACGGATCCTTGGAAGTGTGTCAAAGTACGTAAAGCTGGCGAAGGAATCAATCGAATCGAATTGGTGAAGGCGAAGCGAAAAACCAAACAGCCACGAGCCATAAAAATGGGCCAAAATGAATGGGTGAGACGAGACGTCAAAAGAAATTGAAATGGAACTCAAGCAAAAACTACTTTGTTTGCGATTAGCACTTGGCTGGATTATGGGCAAGAGAGAGAGAGAGGGGTCGTTTCACTTCAAGGAATGGCTATATGGCAGAATGGCAGGCGTTTGCCGGAGAGGAAATGAAATGTGTGTCAATATATTGATTGAATAATGGTCTACATATTGACAAACAACTCAAAAGGCACTCGACAGTGCCAGACTAGAAGAGACCTAGCCCAGTCAGCCGGAAGAGAGTCGCAGGCGGGTGACGGCCTAAGGGGGTAACAGGAAGCGGAAGTTACGCACACACACGCACTTATACTAGCCCAATCTCCAAGAGACACATACACACACACGCACTCACATGAGAAGCTGTCGAATCGGCAAATGCAAAGTGAGACATCAAAAGCATTTCGAGTGCCTCGTCATCAATGTAAAGCAGCTGCTGGCATCCCAGAAATATTCAGATATATAGACCTCGATCCCCAAGACGAAGATGCTCCCTAGACGAAAAGTGGGAGGCGTGTTGGGTAACACGTGTTCCTTTAATTAGATAAAGTTTGTTTGCATTACAAACATACTGGCAGCAATTTGCCTCTGTGCTCAGTTGTCGATGGCAACGCTTCTTCTGCTTCTTCTGCTGATGCTTCCAAGTTCTTCTTTTATTTCTTTGCTCCCCAAAAACTCCTCCCAAGGCTGCTGCTGCTGCTGCAAAAAAAAAGAAAAAGAAATCCCCCAGCGGCGAAAAGTTCTGGAACATGATTGACTGACGCACGTCTAGTCAAATAAAAATGGCACATAGAAATGAAAATAAAAATAAAAATAAAAAAAAAATAAAATATGCCAGCAACTTGGTCGCTCTGTGAATATTTATGTAAATAATTCCATTGAATTGGTGCAGTGCTCATTTGGGCGACGTTTTCCGCAGAGTTTCCGCTGCTGCTGCGTAAATATTTGAATATTTGACTGCTTATTTATTTTCTTTGTGGCGATTTTTCCCTTTGAGCTGCCATGGAACTTCAAAATACCAAGCGAAATTCATTCATCCATTTCCAAATATAATTTGGCCTCATTAACCCTCAAAGAGGGCGAAAATTACTCAATGGCACTTTAAGCTGCTGCAAATCCCACATAATTTGCGATATATAATATGCAAGGCATATTTAACGACCCGAAAGAAAACACACTTTGCAAAATCCCCACAAAAGGCCTTTTTCTCGAATTCAAGGCTTTCTTCGGACTCTTTCTTCTCGGTCCCTCTCGCTCTACTCATTGTTCGTTCTGCCCGGGATTGTTGTTAATTAAAAGCTCACAAAAGTAGGTAACATGCATATTACACACACTCACTCACTCATTCATGCAACCTCACTCTCAATTGTTGCACATACGTATTAATTCGGCCTGAATGCCATAGTGTACATGAGTATATGAGTGTGTGTGCTTGCATGGACTGGGGCTTCCTTTTCCTTCGTAACAACAATGAAATGGCGACCATTGAGAATGATAACAATGAAGGCCGCCACTGCATATAAACTTGCCAAGCAAACACAAGGAAAGTGCGCAACAACAACAACAACAACAACAATAATAATAAAAACACCAACAATGAAACACACTAACACAAATCTTTATTTAAGCATAACACAAAACACGAATACAAAAAAAAAGGAATAGAAAAAAAAAGAATGGCAGAAAGAACCCAATTCAATGGTGGAAGCCCACAAACACACTGAAACCCTGAAAAGAAGACGAAGCGGCCAAACAAGAAGAATGAGAATGGTTGAAAGAAGGGCCGGAAGAGAGGGCTAACGGGCTGGCGAGTGAAAAAATTAGAACAGTCAAGCGCCTCGGGATATGCAACACATAAAACTTGCCAGCCAAGCTGGAAAAGCGACTTCAAGAGCCTTCAACTTGCCCCACTATTGGGCCTTAGATGGGTGCTGCACTGGAAGAAATTATCACGATAATTGGTTAATCAATTTGTGGAGGTTTAGTTTTATTTCTTTTTTGCTTAAGCTTCTCTATCTTTTCGAGATTCGATCTGAAATCTAAGTAAAATTACGTAGTATACAAGGAAAATCTTAACTTGGTTTAATTAGGAAAATATAAATTTGTATCTTAACGGTTTTGACATGGACAAGAGTTTTCTCCAAGTGCTTATTGCTGTTGTGGCAATGCCATTGCAGCAGTCAACTGGATGGCCAGCCATTTCCGTTTCGATGTCTCCCGTTTAGTCGGATGGCAGTTAAGCCATTCCCTTCCACTCGATGCCAGTTTAAACTTGGCTTGGCACGGCCTACACACACGCACACACACGTTCTCGATTTTCTCCCCATCCCCTGTGTGTGTGTGGCAAAGTTTTCCCTAACTCCTTTGGGGCAAACGTAAAAGAAGCAGAGGAAAATCGAGAGAGAACGAGGCTGCCAAAAACTTTGCATCGCAAACTTTTCTGCATATATTTTCCACAAAACGGATGCTTGTTTTTCATGTCTGCTGGCTTATTTCGTTTTGGGGTTTTCCATTTTTAGGCTTTTTTCTTTTCAAACCCAACCCTGAACCCCCTTCCGATGCCCAAAGCCCCCCTGGCCGGCGGGCATATTCACTTAGAAAACCTCTTTCCACCCTACTCTACCGATTTCAAATGCTTTAATCGCAATTTATCAAATTGGAAGAGGCCGAGTCCTGGCCTGAAAAGTTTCTGGCTTCGAAATTGGGGCATTGTAAGCGTTTAATTTGTCAGCCATTTGCTTAGTTAAAAGTTTTTCATTTTCCATTTACAATCCGAGCTGTAACATGCCTGTGCGTTTTTTCTGGGATTATTGCTGGGTCTGGTTTCTCGATCGGCAATAAATTTGAAAGCCCTTATATGAGATATTTGAAAGGATTTATAAATGGGAGAAGTTCGACATGTTTTTTTGTAGGAGAGTCATGTTTGGAAATGTTTCCATTTTTAAGGCTTTCCTTTGTTGAAGAAAACAATTATGGGAAAATTTAAAAGTAAGGTATTCCCACCAAAAATGTTGAAAGGTATGTTGTTATTGGAAAAGCTCGCAAATTAAACTTAAAACAACTTATTAAAACTTCGTTAATACTATAAAAATTATGAAGAATGATTATTTTCATTATAAATTTAATCTTTAGCACTTAATTTATAGTTTTTCTTTCAGGATAACCCAGCATGTAACCACTTGATGTGGCACAGAGCAGAGCGATGAGGCGCCGGACTTTGGCCACCACCGCAGCATGTCCTTGTCGGAACGGAACACACCCAGCCATGGGCAGGGAGCAGGGGCAGGAGGTGGGTCCGGTGGATTGTCGGGCGGGACGCATCGCCAGCGGCCACCGGACGTGGAGGAGGCACTCTCCTCAATGCTGTGGACTCCCTATGAGCGGACACCCCTGCCTAGTTCCTCGGAGGAGGAGGCCGAGGAGGAGGACGACGATGAGCGGCTCAATAGACAGCTTCGCAAGTCCCATAGCAGCTACGAGGCCTCGGCCCTGAACCATCCCCACCACGCCCACCTCGCCCTTTTTGCCCACCACCAGCAGGCTCTGGACAGCGGTTCTGCCCTGCTCCTGCCCCCCGTGCCTTCGTTTCCCCCGTTTAGTTTAAGCGCCTTTGATGCAGCCATCGCTGGCTTCGATCACCTGTCCAAGGTGGGCTTCGCTACCAGCGGTGGGAGTGGCAGAAGGAATCGGTACTCATTCCCCGCCTACCAAGGAAGCCCTTCGCGCACATTGACCCAATGGTGCTCCTCCTCCGCTGCCACCTCAATCAAAGAGCCACCCTCCTACGAGTCACTGTACACCGCCTCCAGCTCAAAGGTTGGAGCTCCTCCTGCCACGTCTCTGGTTTTTAAGGCCAGCGGGGATGTGGGAGTGGGCCTCGAACCATGTGATAGATCGCAACGATCGCCAACGAAAGCAGCAGCAGCCGAGGATCAGGAACGGAATGAGTCCGGATCTAAGGCTGCTCCACTAACGGCTAAAGTTCCAGCTGGATTGGGTCTAAGGCGCTCCTTTACGGATGACTACATTTCGCAGGTGAGTTTTTATGGTTTTCTAGTTAGAGTGACCCAAATCCCTGTTCCTTAAAGACAATTATTTATTTTGCAAAGAAGAGACCAAATTGATAATTGGATATACTAAAGTTAAAACTGGTTAACATTCTCATAAGAATGCCAAGCATAAAACATTAAGATTGCCTTATAAAAGTGCAACCCTTTTATAGATATCCAACTCAAGATTATATAATACCTTTTAGCAATCACCTTGCACCTTGCCTAGGTGAAAATGGAATACCTTTTCCATTGCCGGTGAGCGTGAAACACCCCCCACCACCAATTCCTCGGATACTTTCAGCTGCTTAATGGAGCACCATCAAATTTGATGTCAAGGGTTCAACACAAAATACTTGGCGCCGCCCGCAATGGGAAACTGTGAGACTCAAGCGCGAAATGGGAGCGCCAAGTCGAACTGTCGCCTTATCGGGACCATTGACAGTCCTCCCCCCCAGTACCCCGCAATATATTCGTGAGGGTAAATCCCCCGCACCGTCCCATTGTAACCCCGATAAGGGCTAATGCTTCACTTAGGCCCTTAAGTGCCGCTAGCATCCCTCGCAGATAAGCGCCATATGTTGCCTATCAGTATCGAACATTGGACCGCACCAAAGGGGCACGGGGTGGGGGGCCGCTGCAAAACCGAAAAGGGGCGGGGCATTGTTTCCACATATTAAATTTTATATGCATATGCATAAAGAACGGCATAAAGTACTCTCGCATAGGGGCTGTGTTCTCTGTGCACACTTCATAATTTGTTTATGTGGCGTCAGCGAAACGGAAAATTGACCGCACAAAAATGACAAACAAAGCACAAAGGCGGTTGGTTGGGGGGGTTGGTTTGGAAAATGCATAACAATGGTTTCACAAACGGCGGTGGGGGAGGGTAGGAAAAATAAAAATATCAGTTTTCAATTCTGGAAAACTTATTATACTATCAAAATACATGGAATCATATCGATTGCATAAAACACCACATCAAAATGAAATAAAATCAGACGTTGTTAGTTAACCTTTTAGAGAAGGTAAAAATATAGGTAATTTTGGGGGTTTTCAAGGTGACTATCAGGTTAACAGACTTCCTAAATAGACCTTAAGTCTTTTATATCTTTCTTTTACAGAATGATATTTAAGTTTATTAAAGTTTTACTTTCTTAATAGTTATTGAGATCGAAAATTTCAATGTTTTAGTTAAGCTATCATGTGTATTCTTCAAATTATCCTGTTCAAATTTCTTATTATGGACGATTGACAAATTAGAAGAGACAGCTTTCACCAAAATGAAACCCTCCACATTCTTAAAGTTCTTGGATTTTTAATCCAATTCCACTGTCAATCTCTTCATGGCTCATATTCCTCTTCTTCATTTTCTTGAACCCACTGTCCGCCCCACTTATTTTTCCCCCTTTCCCGGCACATACATACATACATATATAGTATATCTCTTAGCTTTGACGACTGACTCATGACGAGTGGTTTATGGGCAAGAAGTAATGAAGTTGCCAGAGCTTTTCCACTGGCAAGCACCGTTAGCCGAGGATGAGTTTTGGTTTTTCGGCACCCGTCTCCACCGCCCATCCCTTTGCTTAACCCATGTTGCCGCTGTGATTGCAACGCACTCGACAGCAAAGCAATCACAGTGCACAAGACTGAGCAGCATTAGAACAATAAATTTGAGGAGAGGGTTCGAAGAGGGGGGTTTCGAAATGGTAGGGCTAACAGTAAATCACATTATATTTCTGTGACGTAATTAATGCAAGTAACACAGCGTAACATAATTAGAACCCACACATACACACACATATACACAGAAAACAGTGTACTGAGATATGTTTATCCGCTTGGCTTTTAACCCACATCATGTCGATGGGGGATTGGGTTTGGGTTTGGGCTCGGGATTTGGATAGGGACCAACAGCTTTATCAGCACATCACAGGCAGCAGCCACAACAACACCACCACCACCAGCAGCAGCAACAACAATTACTTGTGACGGTTTTATGTTTATGCGTTGGCTTAATTAATTCAATTAAGCGCACATTTATGCCCCAGCCCGAAGGATCCCTCTTTGCCACCTTTTTTGGCGGGAAAATGCGGGGGAAAATGAGATTTCTCGGCAGTGGGTAATCCCCCGGCAATTAGCATTAATTACGACTTGAAACTTAAATCTTGTCATTCGCTATATGCAAACTTGTCTCAGTCATCTCTATATCTATCTCTTTCTTTTTCTTTCTCTCTTCCTCTTTCTTTCTCAATCACAGAATTGTGCTCCATTCACGCCAGCAACTGCAATACAGCATGACAGCAAAACTGAGACAACGGCAACGGAAACACAAAGCCCAGCAACGAATGCGAGATCACAACAAAGCGAGGAAAACCCAAGCAGCAGCGCAGCGAATTGCATTATCAATGAACAGAGAGACGAAGCGGCAACAGCAACTGCAACTGCAACAGCAACATCAGCAGCAGCAATATCGGGAGGGAATGAGGAAACCAGCTCGGTGGCTGTGCAGGTCAGTCAACCTGTTTCCTGTGCCGCCAGAGAGCGAAGAGAGCTGCTGAGAGCCAGCAACACGATAGTAACGCGAGACAGCAGCAACACGAGCGTCGGCAGCAGCAACATCAGCGGCGAGCGCTCAGCGATCAGTCTCTCGGCAACTTTCGGCGGGCCAACAACGAACGCGAGCAATCGGAATTGCTACTACGCAGGTAGCAGCAATAGAAGTAGCAGCAGCAGCGGCAACTATCGCCCACTGTACGATACGAGCAGCAGCAGCAACGTGCTGCGACCCAACAAATGTTTGGCAGAACTCGAGCGTCTGTATGCCGAATTTCGCGCGAGTGAAAGCAGATTCGAGCGCGGTCTGAGCCAGTTGGACAACGAAAACGCCAACGCCAACGTTACCGCTAGCGAAATGCGTCTAAATGTGCCAGCCACTGCTGGTAGCGCCACCAGCAGCAGCAATAGCAACAACAACAGCAATTGCAGCAGCAGCAGCAGTAGTGTGTTTCTTAATGTGTCCGGCAGCAGCAGCACCGACAATCAAGTTGTCGACGAGGCCAAGAGCATCAGCAATATTGCGGTGCTGCCAGCAGCAGCAACATCCAAGTCCTGCCAGCGACAGCCGAGCCTAACGATCCAAGTGAACAACAACAGCAATACTAACGGTACTAATAACGGCAATCGCGTATCGGTGGCTTCGCCCACGAGCATCGTCAACAACAACAACGGTGTCTGCGTTGTCAACTGCAGCTACACCCCCAACAGCAGCAGCAGCAACGACAGCAACACCAGCAACATCAGCAACAATAACAGCGTTGTTGAAATTAATAATTGTGTGCCAGCAGCCAAAGTGTTCAGTGCAAGTGTTCAAAATAATCTAAATAATAATAATGGTAATCCCCCGAGCGGGGATCAGCAGCAACATGTTGCTGCTACTGCCACGGCTAGCAATAATAATCACGTGCAGCCTGATAACAGTGTGAATATAATCAATGTGAATGCCAGCAACAATAACAACAATAGCCAGCCACGCACCTTCACCTCAACGGAATGCCAAACGGATGATCTCTCAGCCAGTACATCATCCAGCCTGCAGCAGGCGCAGCAACAACATCAGCAGCAGCAGCAACAACAACAAGTCCGGACACGCGAGCAACGTCGCAAGGAGCGAAGGGAACGCAGACAGCAACAACAGCAGCAGCAGCAACAACAACAACAGCTTCCGCCACACCATCCGAGACGTCATCCGCCACCGCCTCCTCCACCCCAATTACACCCACCCCCACACATGCACCACCCACATCCCCACCCACTTCCCCATCCTCATCCCGCCGCCATGGGATTGGCCCGTGCCCTGTTGCCGGACATCCTGCACGCCCATTATCCGCCTCCCTATACCGCCCTGCCCGTACCCGTTCCCGTGGCCATGACCACTGCCCCGCCTCCACCGCCCCCGGCGACTGTTGTTGCTGCGGCTGCTGCTGCATCAGCGGGACAGCAGCAACATGCAACTCCGGCTCCACCGCCAGCGTTGACTTCCGTGATATCAACGGTGCCACTGCCTGGTCCACTCCCAGCGCCCCTCATGAACGACGGACGCTTCACGCTGCCTCTGCCCATCATGCGCAGGTGAGTTCCGTTGCGACCCCACTCCCACTTTCAGTGCCCAATCCCATCAGGCACTCTCACCCGGACAGCATCGATCATTCATCCTACCCGGCACTCCCTTGTCGTCTTTGACCAGTCTCGGATTTCATTTCCCTTACCCGGTGAAAAGTGCACTTAGGAAAATGGGGATGAATGTTGGGTTAGGCTGCATCTTAAATCGTTCTTCAGGATCTTTGCTTATATCGATCTTGAGGGTTTTTAGAATGTTAGAAGAGCTAAATTTAGTTTACATATTTCGAAGGATTTTCAAGTGGAAACATGTGTAATATGAAAGAAAATCTAACAATTTCCACCCCAAAACCAAGTCAGGGAGATATCGAGAAAGAGTTCTATGTTTCGGCATCTATTTATAATTCTTATTACCAATGGAACCAAAGATTCCGAAAGAGGTTAATGTGTTTGACAATTTCTTACTTTAGAAAACATCCGTTCACAAAAAAGTATCTCAGCTTCTTCTCATCCCAGATGAGATGGGAATTTTGCATTTCCCATATATCTTTTGATCCTATTCATATAATGGCATGAGACAAGCAAAATTCCTGGAATTATTTTTCGCAGTGTCCATTTCGACATTTTCTATTACCACATACTGGCTTTTGTGCCGCTCTTCCTGCTTTGCTTTCCAGTGTTCGTATTCGTGTTCGTGTTAGACGGGGCCAGACATTATAATGATGGTAATTTTTATGTCAGTAACAAATTTCTTGCATGATTTGATTCTCCGGCTAGACCAGGAAACCAGGTTCAGGTACACAGGTCCAGGCTGGGCTTGTGTAGTGTAAAAATTAATTCTCAACGTTGACAGCTTCCAAGAAATTAACAAAAAAAAAAGAACTAAGAAAAGTGGTCAAGAGGATAGAGAGCAAGCGAGGGGCTTTAAATTAAAGTTTAGGCCAACAAAAAAATAAACCAAAAACGCCAGAGGTCGAGCCATTTGGCCATTACTCTCGGCTAGTTTTCGGGCGAAAAGTTTTGGGTCTTCAGCTTTCAGAGGCTTTAATAACTCATTTTTATTATAATGAGTTCGGGCTTATCTGTAATTGCACATCTAGCACCACAGCTTGGCTTTGTCCTAGCCTGACTTGGCCATAATTCTGCGATACGTCTGCGATTGGCGGACTGCTGGACTGGTGGACCATTGGACTAGTCGCTTTCCCACGCATTTATTGCCTGGAACACCACTGAAACACTTATCTATAGTTGGGGGGCACCGGCAGAACCAGTTTGCTATTGAATCGCTTTGTATTGGCCACACAAAATAATCGATGCCGCGTGTACTCGAACTTGTATCTCCATTTGTATCTCTGTATCTGTTTCAGTTTCTGGGTTTCTGAGTCCGCTAATGTAGCTGTTTTCGTATCTGACGGATGCGCTATCTGTCTAATGGCCTACCTAAACGTCTTCAAAAAAAACAACTTTAACTCCCACCATTTGAACATTTGACATTTTGCGACAGTCGTTCCACAAGTCAAGAGCAAATCGTGTTTCACAATTTTAATTGTGTTTTCTGCCCATTGAATAATTACAAAACTGTGACAGACTAGAATATTAGATATACTTTGTCTATAATGGAGGCGTGTTCGCCGGCTGATTAGCATATTTATAAAGAACGAGTTCATGTTTCCAGTGACTCAAAGTTGGCCCATTAAATTAATTGGTATTTTTGAATGAGGCAAAGGTAAGGTAAGGTGATTTATCATATAATCACCCCTCTAAGCTGGTTACCTCACCTATCCGAGACTAAAGATTTCCAGATAATTGGGTCACCTAATAGAGATCCATGCCATTTGGAGTGTGAACAGAATCCCTCAAAGAAAGGGTTTATGTACCAAAAACGACCAGAGAAGAGAGCTCAGACAACAAACCGCAGACATTATCTGCAATTTTAACACCTTCTGCCTTCGTCCCAAATTAACATGCTCTTACACAACGCTTTTTTAGCTTACTTTACCTTTACCTTTACCTGCCCCGAAAAAAAGGTGTAAAAAAAGCGAAAGTTTTTCAACCTCAACTTTTTTTTCAAGGGGGTTAAGGGAATATAAGAAGAGTAGCAGGAGGTGGACTTTGTGCCGAGCAGGAGTAAAAGGGTCGCCTGGTGGACCGTGCATAATCTTTAAATCATTAAATAACCGAACGAGAAAAACACAGCCAGCGAAAACTGAACCCGAAATGAAAAATGACAACAGCAAAAATAACAAATTCAGAGAGCAATAAAAAGGAAACGTGATGCCGAACTCACGTATAAATCGTTGTAATCATTTTTTTCTTCTCTCTTAGCTGCCTTTTTTTCTGTTTGTTTTGTTTTTCTTAGCATTTAATTTTATTTTGAAACTCCGCTGATGCCAAAAACAAAAGCCAAACTTAACACAGAGCTGAGAGTGAGTAGGAGAGAGATGCAAGAAAAGGCGGTAATAAAATCACTTGAGACAAACGCAGAGAGAGAGAGAGAGATGGATCAGGAGTGCTGTCTTTTTTTTTTCGGCCACTTTCACTTTCGCATTCGGCTTTATATTTTGTTGTTGTTGTATCTGCATCTGAATCAGAAAATCTGGCTTGAGGTTAACGCAGGCCAAATGGCCAACAGCTTATCATAAATTTGGCTTAAAATTACCCAGGCAGGCACTCACTCATAACCGAAATGAACTCGAACTTGAGGCATAAATCAAAAACAATTTAGTTAACATCATTTGGACGCGTGTTTCTTTTATTAATTATGGCGCTGTGGCTAATTGCAAATTGAATCGACGGATTGATGCTGAATTTGCTGAGCTGACACTGAAATGGGTCCTGTTCATCGAGGCGGGAAACCAGTTTTGTTGGCCAGTGCCAAATCCAGAGTCCAAATACCCCGAAAAACTGGCAAGATTTGCATTTGCGGAGAAGTGCAAAAGTATCTGCCAGATACGCCGATGTCGATATCGACATCGATGATTCAACTTTAGTCATGCAAATGGAAAAGAAACAGAAACAGAAACAGAATCAGAAACAAAACACTGAAAGAGACAGCTGTACAAGGAGCAAAAGAGATAGGTGATGTCAGACAAAAACCAGATTTCAGCCGAAAACAACAAGAAATAACCCAAACCAGCCAAGATCGAGTTGCAACTGCGAGTCGAAACCAAAGAAAGACACTCGGCGATCTTGGCTAGGGGATTCTGCAATCTTTTCGGTGGATGACACACTTTTCCGCAGCTGGAAAATTGAGTGATTTTTCATAAATTTTCATTCGCAGCGAGAAAATCACAGAGCCAGGTACTCGACACCAAATGCTGTTGTTGTTGTTGTTGTTTTTGCTGGTAGATGTTGCTGGCGCTGCCGCTGTGGTGGTTGTTATTGTTGTTGCTAGAACTGACCAAACAACTTTCCAGTTTTACGGTCTTGCAACTGCCAACTTCTGTCCTGCTCTGACCTGGACTCCTCCATCCATCCTGCTCTTTCACTGATTCGGTGGCGTTGGGTTTATTTATTTTTATAAGCGAATAAACACTGCCAGCAATCACGGTGGAGATTTTACTAACCGACTGTTGGTATACTCTTTAGAGGATGTCTCTCCCACCACCTAACCAAATACTTTTAACTTGTCGTCTGCCCGCAAAACGAATCGAAAGGAAAGGAAGTCAACCGGGAAGAGAACTTACCAAAAGTCAATAAAGCCAATAAAGCAAAAAGTTGCCATTCTCCAGTCGCAATGATATGGGTTAAGGGAGGAGATTTTGTACAGAGAAAGAAGTTTTAACTAATAAGTACATTTGGGAGAGATATACAAACTATGATTGTAGTTCAAAAAGAATCATTGGAACAATCATTTTAAAATTACTTTTTAATATTTTTGAAGTGCTGTTTTTCCTTTTTTTTCCCTGCTTGTCATAGGTAAAATGTTATAAAATAACTAACATAAGCTAGTGACCCTCTCAAAAACCAAATATAATATCCTTTAAAACATCACCTAGCTAACATTTCGAATAAAAACTGTACCCATCCTTTATCCTTATCGAATCGTTGACCATTTTCCTTTTCAATTTTTCTCCCTGTATTCCGGCCATACCCATGCCCAACTGAATTGCGGTTGTCTGCTTCAGCTCCGTCTGTTTCTGCCTCAGCTTCTGGCTCTGGCTCTGTGTCTGTGTTTGTATAGAAAATGCATTCGGGCCAAGTTGAAATGAGCCGGCAAAATGCGGCAGCAACAACAGAAGAGGTAGCAGCATCAGCAGCAGCAGCAGTAGCAATGCCCAAGTACCCAGCAACATCACAAAATAGACGAGCCAAGTCGCAAACAAGTTGCCAACGAACGAAGAAAAAAAAAAAAAAACATAGAGAGAGAGTTGCGATGGCCAAAGGGCCAACATAGACAGACCAATCTTCTGGCTTATTAAATTGTCACCCGAGTGCATTCGATTCGATTCGCTTTTGGCTGGGCCTGATTTTCGGTTCGATTCGGTTAGTGTGGCCCAGAAACCGCAAAATGCCAAATCTAATGGGGTTTCCACCGTAATTGTGCCACTGCAATTAAGTCTTGCTAACTGTGGTCAAATTGTTTTAATAAGTTTTTAAATAGCCATAAATGAGCCCGGCCTTGAGCAGTGGGAAACTGTCTGGCCGGGTCTTTCTTTTTTTTGTCAGTTTGTCAGAAGTTTTTTTCTTTTTTTTGTTCATTCTGGGCATTACAGTTCAATGCCTTGGGCAAGACCGAAACAAAGCAACGGCCATCTCATTGTAAATTCAGATTCTGAATTTCGCACAAAAGCCCAAAACAAATGGCGGCGTTTGATGCAAATTTGGGATGCCGAGCACAATACAATTATTCCCATGATGGGCATCATTTCGGAATAAGCGCATAAATAAAATATTCTCGTAAGTGTATATTTTGGCCTGAAAGCCAGTTGGTAGGGTTAGGGTAAGCAGTGGTTAATAGACTGCCGGCTAAAACACGTGTCTCTTTGAGGTTATTCTATACGACGAGGGTT